CTTCAACTCCCAGAATCCCCCAGCCAGCATGCTTTAAGATGGGTGGACTTCACTCCCAGGATTCCCTTTGCAAGCTTTTCCCACTTGACACCATAAGGACTACAAACTTGCGCTTTTTAAGAAGAAAATAGTTCCTTCGTTCACTCTTTTCTTTCTCTCTCCTTGTAGGCAGCCTCTTTTGGAAAATGCTTCATCGACAAATATGCACCGGAAAATTTTGTCGAAACCTGCCGAGATCTGCGAGTGCTTAACGCCGTGCGAGATTACCAGATTGGGATGCCCCTCAGCTTCGACCAGTATCCTTTCCGGATGGCGGAACCAAAATGGATCACGGGAAACCGGATTCCCCACTCCCCCGCATTTTTTTGTCCCTCCGGTTTTATCATGCAAAAATTTGCTTTCTCATCAAAGCAACAAAAAAACAGGGGGTCCTCGACTTATGACCCCAATGGAGGCTTGGTGGGGCCGTTGTTAAGTGAGTTTTGCCCCATGTTATGATCTTTTGTCTCACGGTGGTTCAGCAAGTCATTAAGCGAATCTGGCTTCCCCGTTGAGTTTCCTCATCTGACAGTCGCAAAAGAGGATCAGGTGGCCCCGGGCCAGTGCAGCCGTTGTAAATATGAGTCAGTTGCCAAATGTCTGAATTTGGATCATGTAACCAAGGGGATGTTGCAATGGTCGTAAATGTGAAAACAGGCCATAAGTCACTTTTTTCCGATCCAATTTTAACTTCAGTCACTAAATGGATGGTCGAGGTCTGCCTGTAATTTGGGGAGGGGTAACATACGAGCTTCTGATCTCCTGTCCTTCAAGATATGTGAACCAACGAATCCTAGAAAATTCTTAACAGATGATTTACAGATATAAACAGCTGACCAAGGAGGTTTTATTGGATAGGTAACTTAATTTCTCCTATAAATGTATCGCACGTCTGGGTTAATTTCCCTCCTCTTTTCCATCTAAAAACGGACAAATCTTGATCAATCTCAGTTTAAGGGCTGCTCTGGCTTACTAGAGTCCGAGGCTGAACATCGGTAGAAGTCAAAATTGTTTTTTATATTATTGTTATTATTAGTTTGGTGAGATTCACAGCCTTTGGGGCTGGTTGGCAGCTCAACAGCTCGAGTCCTAACCAAGGACCTAGGAACTGTTCAGGTAGCGTCGGAGGATATAAGCTGTTCCAAGTAGGGTGTTTTTTTTTGTAGAATCAGGGTATTCCAGTCTGATAAATTCAGGATTTCCAAATAGCGAGGCAGCCCTTTAGGTATTGCTCCAAGGGCTCCAATCACAATTGGGATAACACACGATTTCTTTTTCCAAAGTTGCTTAACTTCCATTTGTTAAGGCCCGATACTTCGTGATTTTTTCTTGCTGCGTGTCTTCAATTCGTGCATCACCAGGTATTGCAATGTCAATGAACCAAATCCTTTTTCTTCTCAACTATTGTTATGTCAGGCGTGTTGTGGGCCAAGTGCCTGTCCGTCTGAATTCTGAAGTCCCACAAGATCTTGGCTTTTCCATTCTCCAGAACTTTCTCAACTTCTTCCTCTTCCTCTCCTTCCCCTTCTTCCTCTTCCTCTTCTTCTTCTTCTTCTTCTTCTTCTTCTTCTTCTTCTTCTTCTTCTTCTTATTATTATTATTATTATTATTATTATTATTATTATTATTATTATTATTATTATTATTATTCAGTTCAATTTGGTTGATTCTTCGAGACATCCTGGATAGTTTTCTTGGCAAGTTTGTTTAGAACTGGTTGGCCATTGACTCCTTCTTGGGGTTAAGATAGATTGACAGGCTTAAAGTCACCCAGCCAGCTTTCATGCCTAAAATGGGACTAGAACTCACCGTCTCCTGGTCATTGGCCCAAAGTCACCCAGTTGGCTTTCATGCCTAAGACAGGACTAGAACTCACCATCTCCTGGTGATTGGCCCAAAGTCACCCAGCCGGTTTTCATGCCTAAGTTAGGACTAGAACTCCTCGTCTCCTGGTCATTGGTCCAAAGTCACCCAGTTGGCTTTCATGCCTAAGACAGAACTAGAATTCACTGTCTCCTGGTCATTGGCCCAAAGTCACCCAGCCGGTTTTCATGCCTAAGGCGAAACTAGAACTCACTGTCTCCTGGTCATTGGCTCAATGTCACCAAGCCGGCTTTCATGCCTAAGGCGGTACTAGAACTCACAGTCTCCTAGTGATTGGCCCAAATCACCTGGCACCTCAGCCACTATACTAAACTGGCTTTTTGTAGCCAAAATAGCCTGTCCCTAAAGCTGGAGGCTCTCTTTTGGCTCCCGGTTAGAGACTGAGCCCTGTTCCATGGGAATGCATGCCTGTCACAAACCACGGCTTGTATTCTAGCCGTGTGACCTGACCCTTCAGCCGTTGTGTCTTAGGGTGGTTTTAAGAAGACTGTATCCCATCGCCATCAAGATCTGCGAGTATCTCCGTCTCTCCGAATTCCAAGGAATAAGCCGGATTTTGGCCCACTGGGCCTGTTACAAGGTACGATCCAGAAAGCCGTCATTAAGTGGGAACAGCCTGCCCAAGCCCCCCCTCCCCCCCCCCAAATTGCATCTTGACGCAACGGTTCTTAACTTTGGGCGCCGGTTGTCAGTCCCCTTCGTTCGTAACTGCAAACAGTCGCTAAGCGCGGATGGCCTGAAATGGCATTTTTAACACCCACCTCTCCGTTCTCAGGTTCAACAGAGAGACAAATCCGACGAGGAATTGGCCCAAGTCATCAACCAGAAACTCGGTGACGCCGTGGGCATTTCGTATTCGGACATCGCGACGCAGGCTTACGAGAGCAGCCGGCCAGAGCTGGCTATCAAGGTTCGAGGGAAATGGGTTGTGATCCGTCCCGAAGAAGGTCTGGGAAGGAAGGAGGGTCTAAGAAGCAGGAAACAACAGGGCTTCTCGGAATAGGAATAGGATGAATGGGCTAGAAGGGACCTTGGAGGTCTTCTAGTCCAACCCCCTGTCCAAGCAAAAAATACTATACCATTTCAGACAGGTGGCTGTCCAGTGTCTTCTGGAAAAAACCTCCCATGTTGGAACACCACAACTTCTGGTGCAAGCTGTTCCACTGTTCAGAGGAGTGGGTTCCCTCCTGGCCATTTCCCTGACATGCTACCTTTCGAGATGCAAGGCATTCGTCTCGCCCGCCTGGAAAAATCCCAGATAGCTTCAGCTTTGATCTAGGCGTTCTGCAGGCGGACTGGGCCCAGCCACAGGCAGCGAGAAACAAAGTCCTAAGTTGTCCTGCTAGATCAGTGTTTTTTCAACCTCGGGCGACTTGAAGAAGTCTGGACTTCAAACAACTCCCAGAATTTCATGATGGAAACCTTGTGGGGGGGTTTTTTGTGGTTGTTGTTTTTGCAGCTGCTGGAATACGAACCCAGGCCGGGAAAGCAGGTTCCTCTTTTGCTGACCATGAAGAGAAGCCAGCTGGCGTTGAGTAGAGCCATCGAGAGCGGGGACAGCGACCTGGGTAAATCGGAGGGGGGGGGGAGGGAAGGATGGAGAGAGAGAGATTGAGAGAGAGAGAGAAGATAGAGAGAGAGAGAGATGATACATGATAGGCAGCAGACAGACAGATATAGATAGATAGATGAGAGATAGATAGATAGATCAGAGAGAGAGAAATGAGAGATAGGTAGATAGGTAGATGTGTGTGTGTGTGTGAGAGAGAGAGAGATGATAGCAGACAGATATAGATAGATAGGTGATAGATAAGAAATAGATTGATAGATCAGAGAGAGAAATGAGAGAGATGAGAGATAGGTAGGTAGATATGTGTGTGTGTGTGTGAGAGAGAGAGAGAGATGATAGCAGACAGATATAGATAGATAGGTGATAGATAAGAAATAGATTGATAGATCAGAGAGAGAAATGAGAGAGATGAGAGATAGGTAGGTAGATATGTGT